AAATAAGAAAAACCAAGTTGGTGTTAATTAAATCGTAATATTTTAATTTTTTCTCTTCAAAAAGAAAATACTTTACCTCTTAAGTCTTAAAACTTGTAAGAAAATCAGAAAAAGTTCTAAACTATTTGAACTTACTTGGATGCAAACATAGGTGGTTAATGATTTCAAAAGAACTATTTTTATAACCTCTGAGAATTATGGTTTCAGTAAGACAGCTAAATTGACTAGCAAAGTCAGAATTTTTCACAGTATTCTCTTTGGATACTGAGGTTCAATCCAGGCCTTGTAATTGTCAGCTTTGTATTATTTAATGCATTTGTATCAAAGAACTAGTCAGAGAGCCTCTCCATTATCATCTATGAGAACCACCACCGCACACTGACAGATGTTAAAGAATGTCTATGGAAAGAATGTCAAAACCTCTCCAAAGAAAGTCTTTAAACCATGTTTTTAAGGCAGAAATGCAAAACCAGATTTAATTGCCCTTTTCCTAAACAGCTCATACATGCAAGCTCATTTACTGCAGCATATGGTCTGAAACGTGCACAGTGGAAGAGAGCCGTCACGGGGAAGGGCGGGCCTGAATCCATTTGGGCTGGAGTCACAAGGATCAGTCCGAGGCAAGCACTTGAAGTTAAAAGAAAGAAACACACCCAGCAGTGAAGACAAAACTATCTTCATTTTGAATTTGCTTATTGGAGACGTCCTATTTGCCTTTCAAGACAGCAGCATTCAGTGGCTTTAATATGAAATACAAGATTTCTGAAAAATAAATATCTGGGGTTTTTTTCTAATTTAAAAAAAAGATTTAAAAAATAGACAACATTGCATAAAGCCATGGAGGGATTTTTTCTGATAATTTTAAATTCATTATTTTTCTAATGCGAACAATTAAAATGAGTTGGATGGCAGCAACATTGCTTACATTTTATTTCAAAGGGAAGACATTATAAGACTATATGAAGTGGTAAATTCTTACCACCCCTACAGGGATTAAGTTTACAGTTCTTGCAAGAAGTCACAGGTAATTGAGAACTTAAGAAAAGGAAGAGAAAAGAGTCTGTGAATCCTCTCCTACCACTTTGTGGCCTTAAGCAAGTGGCTTGATATCCATGTACCTTACCTTTATGTCTGCAACATGGGGAAGTTGTCTTTCTGGAGAATTTAATTTAACCTCTGAATGGCTAATAAGACAGTTCTCTTGCTGTGTGTCTAGTACAAAGTCACACACAGATTTGAGGGATAATACAAAAAGCAGTAGAAAGGAAAGAAATGTTTGAGGAGTTAGTAATGGCAAACATGGATCTGATTGTTTATTATTGCTGATTCTAATTAGTAGTTACTTATAACAAACTATTTCAAAGTGCTATTTTGCCTATAAAACTAACCTTTCTGCCACATGTACATTGATATGTTCTAGGACAAGTGTGTTTACTATTTTTATTGTCATTGTGAAACTGTCTAAAGCTGCATGGTCATATGGCTATTTAAGTCAAAATTAATTAAAATTAAATGTAATTTAAAAATTTAATTCCTCAGTCACACTGGCCCTATTTCAACTGCTCAATAATCACATTATATAGCGTGTTCTCATTATCACAGAAAGTTATCTTGGCCAGCAGTGTTCTGGTATTATTGATATTGTGATTAAGTTTCAATGCATTCCATTGAAAGGTAAGAACATCAGTCATGTATTTTTAGATGGCAGGTATAGAGGAAACTGGTCTCCTACCAGTGCAAAGATTAAGCCAAAGTTAAACTGTAAAAAAGGTACATTTAAAACACAAAACTGCAGTGGTGGTGTTGCTTCTGGTGATGCGATTTTCTGACATAGTGAGCAGCACTGGCACATGACTCATCCCTGTGTCAGCGTCTCCAGCCCGCCATCTAAGTACACAGTGATCAGATCCACTGTCCAGGTATCTCAGTCCTTGTGTTTAGGTAACCCTTATTTACCTCAAAATGACCCCAAAGCTATTCACATAACCTTTTTACAGTGTATTGTTATAATTGTTGTATTTTATTATTAGTTATAATTGTTAATCTCTTACTGTGTCTAATTTATAAATTCAACTGTATCATAGGTATGGATGTGTAGGGAAACACATAGTATGTATCAGGTTCGGTATTATCCACGGTTTCAGGCATCCACTGAGGGTCTTGGAACGTGTTCCCTTCGGATAAAGGGGGACTACTGTACTTCCGATAGCAGAAGTCAAAGAATCTTTTAGACGGTTTTTGTTTTGTTTCGTGTACATTGGGTGATGCTTCCTTCATTCAGCACACACTAAGGCCTGCAGTTTGCTTTTCATCTCTACCAGCTTGCTGAACCGGTTGCAGAATTTCCATACTTTTTAGAGATGAAGGTAAAGCTATCATACTATTAATGCTGTTGCATCTAAAAATGGGGACAGTTTTGCCTCTTGTAATTACCAAGAACACCGGCCCTCACGGTGTTCTGTTTTTATTTTTGAATTGGAGATTGCTAGCATTTCTGTGACACAGAACCATCTACACTGAGGGCTTCCTCTTCAGTGTGGCTGTGCTCAGAACTTTTGTCCCAGGTGTCTGTGACATGCTAACCTCTGTTTATAAAGTCGCTGTTCCCCTCATCGTGGTTAGTATATAGTCTACCTATGAGTAATACTCCTAAAAACAAGTAAAAAGAAACAGACCAATAACAAACAATAGAAGGAGAAGAGACTGACATTTGCTAACCACTCTGCCAGTCACTGTGCCAGGCAGATTTCAGAGAGGTTGAATAAATGCAGCAATCCACACAGCTGCCAAAGCCAGGAAAATAGAGATTTTAGACTGTTGGTGAGCTGGTGGCTCTTATCAGCGAGCATCTTGTTAATTTATTGGCAGACATCTGAGTACCTGCTGCTTTGGCACTGCGCAGACACGGATAAATCCAGTGCCAGATCTTGGGGAGCACACGGTCTAACCGGAGACCAGAGATTTGCACAGGTCACTAGTACAAGGGAATGAGGACGCTGACATTTGCACTGACGGTGCTGTGTGTGCTCCGTCTGTTATCTCATTTAACCTTCACAGCAAGCCTGCAAAGTGGCTGGATCTCTGTAACAGAGATAAGGAAATTGTGGTTTAGAGAAAGCAAAGGACCCAAGGTTCCCAGCCAGGAAGTAGCAGGGCTCAGATCTGCACCCAAGTCCAGGACTGCAGAACCTCCGTCTTCTCTCGGCATTCCAGGCCCGACTCTTCCTTCTGACATGTGGCTCTTGGGAGGGGCATCAGATGTGTTCTACTTGGGTATTAGAGTACCAGTAGGATGTAGATAGATGGAAAGTTCCAGCAGTGCTGGCAACAGAAGCCAAGGGACGGGAAGACAAGTACGTGGACTTGCGGTTTACGCCTGAGCATTCCAGATGTGGCGCCGTCGTGAGCAGTGACTAGACGGGGGTCGGGGGAGGGCTTGTCATATCTCAAGCTTTAGCCACGATGATGAGGTTTGAAGGGCTAAGTTGCAGAAATATCTTTTTCCAAAAATGAATACAACTTGATAATTAATTGGAGGTTTTAGGGGAGGAGGGGAGGAGTCAACAGGAATCAAAGCTGATGAACACTGTGGGTTGCGCTGTAAGACAAAGGAAAGCGTCCATCAGAGCGCAGGTGACGTGGACAAGAGCGTTCAGCCGCACTGCGCCCTGGGCTCGCCTGGTTTCCCAGCGACTATTTCACATGGAATGTGTTCTACAGCTGCAGTTTTCTAAGGATGTAAAGCTATGCCTCAGTAGTCTAGGATATCACTTTAATTTTTTAAAACAGACAAAGCCTGGCGGCTGTGGCTCAGCGGTTGAGCATCGACCTAGGATCCAGGTGATCGCAGTTCGATTCCCGGTCAGGGCACATGCCCGGGTTGCGGGCTCCATGCCCATTCGGGGGCGTGCAGGAGGCAGCCCATCAATGACTCTCATCATTGAGGTTTCTCTCTCTCTCCCTTCCTCTCTCTGAAATCAATAAAGATATATTTTTTTAAAAAAAGACAGAAAACGTGATCTCTGCTGTCAAATACACACACACATACATGTATGTTATATATACCTATAGAGGGACTAGAAAATATGACTAACTTTATTATTCTTCAAATTTTACAAAAAGGACATTTACTTCTATAATCAGAAAGAAAAATAACTAAAAAGCCAAATAGCCTATATGTTTGTTTCATGGACCATTTATAAATTCCTTCAGAATACTTCACCAGACAGTGTGTTCATTCTCTTATCTACCAAAATCGTTTTCCAGTGACTGTTTGGGAGAACTTCTCTTCTTCATTTTCTGCTCATATAGAATTATTTTAATTTTAAAATTAACTTAGAGTATTTGCAGTATATATTTTGATTTTTAAAGCTTTGTGGTTTTTAATCAGTAGGGATATTTTCACTCACCTGTACCTTTTTGTAATGTTGATGTTTAAACTCTTAAAATAATTGATCAAGGAAGAAAGGTAAATGAGTATCGGTTTTTATTTGGTATTATAAAGTTATTGACCAAATTGAGCCATCATGCATGTTATGGCTGGCATTACTCTTAAATTACAATGCAATCAGTCCCTGTGGCTAAGTACTTTGCACTTAGATTTTGTTTTCTATTTTGCTTTTGTAAAATTTCCTTTAAAAGATTTTAATTTTAGAGAAAAAATGTATCTGAAAATCTTTTAGTCCCTTGATACTCTCCAACTTTAAAAATAAATGATGACATATTAAAATAAATGTCAGTTTTAAGAACCAACTTGGTTGAATTTCAGTTTGAAATACATTTTTATTTTGGTTATAAAAATCTTTAAAGGCAACTTTAAGATGAAAATTCTGATATAACTAAATTATTTTTATGTCAAAAACTATTTCTCAGATACCTAGTGTTAATTTCTTTATCCTGAGCCAACACAAATTTTAGAATTTGTATTGTACTAAAACTAGTGGTTCATGTTATGATATGCAGAATTAAAGAATTTTTTTCTTTCTTTTTTCACTATTTAGGAAATACCAGATAGGAACCAGAGTCCGGCTGCGGCTCTTAGACCTTGAACTTACATCTCGGTTCCTGGGAGCGACAACAGACACAACTATACTAGAGGCTGATGCAGTTCTCTTAGGACTCCAGGAGAATAGAGACTTCAGATCAAAAGAGGAACATCATGAAAAATGAATGGACTTCCCTAGTGTATTTGTTCCTACTGTGTATATCCCGGATAGTCATCAAGAATGCAGTTAGAAAGTTGTGAAAAATGATTGAAAGAAGACATAACGAATGCTATAATCATAGCTCTTATTTGTTAGCATTTTCTTTAGCTATATCTCCCTTCCCCCTTTTTGTACCATTTTTCCCTTTGTTTGGGATACTGTAACCCATATTGAGAAATTGTGTGATTGAATAAATACATTGTGAGTGCTCTCCGTGTGCATGGCACTGTTTTAACACCAAGAACAGCAGTGAGCAAATTAGACAGAGTCGCTTGCATCATGGAGCTTACCTTCGACCAGGGGAAGTAGACAGTAAGTGAAAAATATAGCATATTAGATAGTGACTTGTGCTGAGGACAGAAATAAAGGAGGGCGGAGGATCTGAACAGACATTTTTCCAAAGAGGACACTCAGATGGCCAGGAGGTCCATGGAAAGATGCTCAACATCCTGGAAGTGCAAATCAAACCACAATGAGATATCACCTCACACCTGTTAGAATGGTTGTTATAAAAAAGACGAGGTAACGAGTGTTTACAAGGACATGGAGAAGAGGGAACCCTTGTGCACTATTGGTGGGAATGTTCGTTGGTATAGCCACCATGGAAAACAGTTTGGAGATTCCTCAAAAACTTAAAATAGAGCTACCAGCATTCCACTTATCCAGAGGAAAGAGAAACACATTCAAAAAGATGTATGTGCCCCCATGTTAATTTCAGAATTATTTATAACAGCCAAGATAAGGAAACAGCCTAACTTGCTAGATGAATAGATAAAGAAGATGTGCTAAATATGTGTGTGTGTGTGTATGTGTGTGTATGAATATTACTTGGCCATGAAAAAGAAGAAAATCTTGCCATTTGTGACAGCACGGATGGGCCTTGAGGGCATTATGCTAAGTCAGATAAGCCAGACAGAGGAAGATATATACTGTCTGATCTCACTTACATGTGGAATCTAACAAAAAAAGAATGAGCACATGGATATAGAGAACAGATTGATGGAGGGGGTAAGGTGGATGAAATGGGTGAAGGGAGTTAAAAAGTATCAATTTCCAGCTAAAAATAAATAAAGGGTGTAATGTACACCATGGTGACTATAGTTAATACTGTATTGTATACTTGCAAGTTGCTAAGAGAGTAGATCTTAAAAATTCTTATTACAAGAAAAAATTTGTGACTACATATAGTGACTAATATTAACTAGACTTATTGTGATCGTTTTGCAGTATATCAAATTACAGAATTATGTTGTATATCTGAAACTAATGTTATATGTCAACTATATAAAAAATTTAAAGCCGGGAATGGGGTTATAAGGTATCAGATTGACATGTAGGTGTGTCAATGGCCTCACAGAATTCACTTTTTTTTTATGTAAAAGATTTTATTTTTCCACTGATAAATTTACAAAATGCTCTTCTAAGAGCTTTTTATTATTGAAGTATAATCAACTTTTGACATTATGCTAGTTTCAGGTCTACACCATAATTGACTTGATGTTTGTGCATATTGCGAAATGATCATAGTAAGCCTAGTTAACATTCGTCACCATACGTAGTTACCAGGAATTCACTTTGGAATAATATCTGAAGGAAACGAGGGAGCTAGCTACATGACGCTCTGGGAAAGAGTATTCTAATGGGCGGAATGGCCAGTGCAAAGGCCCTGAGGCAGGACTGTGCCTGTCCAGTTTAGGGAACAGGGAGGAAGCCCGTGTTGCTGAACAGAAGAGGAGTACATGAGCCTGGAGAAGTGGGGAGGGAGGCCTTGTAGGTCCAAGTATAGACTTTGGCCTTTATTTACTCTGATTGAGATGGAGGATCATTGGCAGATTCTGAGCAGAGGAGGGATGTAATCTGACTGACAGTTTAGCAGAATCCCTTGAGTAGACCCGCTGAGTAGACTGAACATGAACTAGGGCAGCAGCAGCAAGGCCTGTAGGAGGCTTGCAGTGACCCCGGCGAGAGAGGATGGCAGCTTGGACACACAGTGTCGTAGCAGTGGGGGTGGGAAGTGGTTGCTGTCTAGATATATTTTGAAGGTAGAGGCTAAGGTATTTTCTAACACTGGACATGGAGTATGTGATCAAGAGACGAGTGAGGGATGACACCAAGGTTTTTGGCCTGCACAACTGAAGCACTGAATTGCCCTTAATTGGGACAGAGAAGGGCAGGTTTGAGGGGCCTCAGTAACGAGTCAGTTTTGGATGTGTTAAACGTGAGGTGCCTCTTAGCCATCCAAGTGGAGATCTGAAGGCAGTTGGACGTATGCGCCTGCAGTTCATGGAAGAGGTGTGGACAAAAGATAGAAACTTGCAGATCGCAAACATTTTTATACCACCAATTATGTAGGTCAAGAGCCCCAAAGCAAAGATCGCCCATTAGAAGAGCCCCCTGTTAGGCAGGAATGGCCATTGCCGGTTGTCCTGCTCAGTCACTGGAGATGCCCAGGGAGTCCACCTCAGCAAGCACACGGTGGTGGCCTCTGCAGGTGCAGCAGCTGGAGGCTGTGCGAGCTGCCTGCTCAAATCAGACTGCCTTTCTCTTCTTTTAAACCACATTACTGAGGTATGATTGGTGGAAACGCTGTACATACTTAATGTTTACAACTCAAGGGGTTTGAAGGTAAGTACACAGCCATAAAACCATGACCACCAAGGTGATAGACGTATCCATCACCTTCCAACATCTCCTCCTGCTCCGCCCCCCTAACCTTTTTTAAGACTTTTTTTTTTTGAGAGAGAGAGACTGCTAGCAAGATGCAAGTCACTATTGTATGTGATCTAATCACAAAAGTGACATTCCTTCAGCATTGCTATATTCTGTTGGTTAGTAGCAAGTTAAGGAGAGAGTGTTAATATAAGCCCCTGAACGCCAAGAGGTGAGGACCATTGAGGTCATCTTCAGGGTGCCTGCCGGGCATGTGTAGAAGGCAGGTAGTTTTCTGTTCAGTTTATAGGTGCCTGGGTCAGGGGTGGCAGGATTGGGACCTGATGGAAATCACAAGATCTGGACTTTGGGCAGATGCCATGACTGGATGAGTCTTGGGGACTGGGCTCATAGGATGGGAGTCAGTTCTGCATTCAGGAGGGATGTGAAGAGTTGTAACCATGAGGACTACAGGAAAGGTTAGATGAATCTATGAATGGTAGGTCCAGATTTGAGTATTTAAGGATGCCAAGGGTTCAAGTTTGAAGCAAATCCTCAAACTTTTGAGGCCAACATGAATGGGATACCATGAGACTCTGAAGCCACAGGCTGGTCAGACCTTGGGGCTGACTCAGCATCGCATTACTTATAGTCATATCATTTGGTTTTTAAAAATAAATACACATTTCAGTATAAATTCCTAAGGGGAACATGTAGTTTATTTGAAAAGACTATAGCCTTTCCCCCATGTTTCTTTCAAACTAATTACAAAGAACTCAGATTTTCTGAGCCAAAGGATGTAGGAAACTCGACAGCAAATGTGTCTAATTTTACATTCCCACACCTGCATTCTATGTGTGGGAAATGGAAACAGGGTTTTTAATGTAGCATCTTAGCCAGGTAGGAAATTGTGTGGACCTCGAAATCATCCTGTGGACAGATGAAACCTTTGGAAACCAAAGAATGGCTCAGATGACTACCATTCGCTTCACAAAATTGCCTGCTTAAAAAAACAATCCCCACTCTCCTGCCCGACTCTGTAAGTCTCAAATCATTATGGTTTGGGAAAATGCACATGAGGCTGTGATAGCAATAATTATTTCAAATGAATGAATAAAAGAAAGCAGGATACTGGTTCTTTCCGGGCAACATTTCAACGCAGAATCTTTCATTTTAGATGCAGTGAGTACCACAGAAGCCAGTAGATGAAGACAATGTCCCAACTCCCCAAACCATACTAAAAGGAGTGGGAATCCCACTCAGGCAGGCAGCGGAGAGCAGGATTGTGGGTAAATGTTTCAGGCTTACTGGTCAGAAATAATGGTGTGTCTCAGTTATGTTGTTGCATAACTATCTTTTAGACATATTTAGTGGTGCCCGGTATACTAGTAAATTTTCCAAAATTGCAAGATGGGTGACAATGTAGTCAATCCCATGCCTGTGATTTTGTTTAAAAAAATTCCTGGTGCATAGTCATCTCTACCTTTGCTAACCCCTTTCCCTTTCCCACTCGTGCTCCTGCGCAGGAGTTAACAAAATTGACGTGACTAATGGACCAGAAAAAGTCCTGGACAATCTACCGAGTGGATATTACAATCAGCCGCCACATCATCTAACTTAAATGTTACCCGACAGGTGTGGAGCAAGACCTAGAAAAACCAGGAAAGACCTTTTTCCACAAAGAACAGGAAAGGGTGACTCTAAAGTTGGCTCCTTTGGTAAACCAGAAATTAAAGTCTTGCTCACGCGAGGAGAGTTAACTTCATGGTGGTTGTCTTCTCAGTAACCCTCCAAGCCTGCCCGGTGGGGAGGGGTGTGGGGGGAGTGCTCTGCCCTGAATGTTCGCCTGTCGCCTGGACGGCCACTTGAGAAAGGCCACCGCGTGCAGGAAGACTCTGCAGAGCTGCCGTGCTTATGAAGGGGACACAACTCAGCTGCAGCGGAGACCTGCAGCTAATCAGATGGGGCTCGCTCCTCTTCAGAGGCCCTGCGTGTGCTCCGGCTTTGCTCCCGCCCTCCTGCCCCACGACAGAGGCCAACCCTGCCTTCTAGGGGTTCCCTCGAGTGTGCCCTCAACTATCTAGACAGCTCCGAGTCAGGCCCGGGAAGCGCGGCCCGGAGCGTGCTGGCTGTTTCCTCTGCCGTGTGTCAGGGCCTGCTTGTCACGTTTATGTTCTATTCCGATGCCATCTTCCTCCAGATGAAAGACGGGGACCGACTACAGAGTGTGGCCCCTCCCTAGGGCCTGGACAGGATTTGCACATTGGGACAAAACACTGCAGCCGTTGCCTCTGTTGCAGAGACGAACAGAGGCACGGGGTCGTGTTCTCCAAACCCCCTGGCCTGCGGGCGGCGCCACATGGTCCCTGTGAGCACGAGCAGGCTGGCCAAGTCACCACACGCCCTTCACGCTGTCATCTCTCCACCTGGACAGAGTTTACACAACACGCATTTCCCACTATAGACCACGTTTAGTATTTTTAAATGATTTCAGGGATATATGGAAAATATAATGTCTTTCTGATTAACTCTTTCTAATGATATAGTGAGCATGGTTAATAT